CTAACCACTAATGTCTCACTTATGTATAATAATTCATTTTGAAATTAGCAATCTATAGCTCAGTTGAAAAATTTATAAGGTGATAATTGTACGTTTATCTAAGAAGGAACCAAAGCTTAAGGAAATATACTCCAACTCTTTGATTAGCCATATATACTTTACTTCTTATTATTTATTGAAGCTAAAAATAATATTTATTAGAAAAATTAAAGGAGAGTGAGGGATGACTTGACTAATTTAAATATTACAACTTAAATGTATGTGATATTTAGTATTTTTTTATAACTTTGCACCTTATCTCTATTTACAAACATCCACTACTTACAGATCGAGTTTCATTTCTTCCTAATATAGTTGACTAGTAGACAATTTTAAATTAGGATATTTATCATTCAATTTAACTATCCATTTTTTTAATGGATCCTTAAATATGATTGGTTCGAATGACGAAATCATATTCTCAAATTCCAAGCTAATTACCCAATCATATTTAACCATAAATTTCACAAGGTTGCTGAGATCGTATTTTGATATTGAGAGAGGCGATGATCGATTTTTTTTAGATCCAAATTTGAAATTAAATTAAAATCTGATTTGGCCCAAAAGCTAAATTTTTTACCATTTATGTGCAAATAATGAGGTTGATTTAACTCATTTTTCAATTTGTGCTCTACTGGAAGATTTTATGAATGAACGATTTGATTGGATCGTGATGATCATACCACTATCCATTGGCCAATCGAAGGATCATTGATCAAATCAATCCAATCATTCTTTTATCTGATAGGTCACTCGTGAATCAAAGTGCTTCTTTTTTGTTTCTATAAGCTGCACTTTCAGCCAGGCTACAAAAATATAAAAGGAAATAAATGCTCCTATTTAGGCTCATCAATTGAATCTTATTTAAATTAAAGTTATACCCTCAACAAATCGAGGGATATATATAGGCATCACTCGGAGATTCAACTTCAAACTCAACCTCATCAATAAATCATTTTGTGGATTTCTGTCCAACATCTTTCTATGCTAATTTTCTATATTCCTCTGTGAATGTTACATTACTATACCCCAAGCACTCCTAGCGATTACTCTAGCAACTATTCTCTCGAAGTCCATAGATTGCATCATTACCAGAATCAGCAGCTAAATTGGAATCATAACCAGAAATTTAACCAACCCGCCCCACCAATTAGTTCCTCTCAGTCAATGCAGAACGGTCACTCAGATTCATCTCAAAATTTATCATCTCCTTCCAATTTGAATGGTCATACCAAACCCAAGCGGGCCCAGGTCAAGAATGCCTGTACCAACTGTAAGCGCATGTGCAAGAAGTGTGATGACAGTAGACCCTGTAATCGATGCATTAAACATGGCGTTGCAGATTCCTGCGTAAGCTCTGAGCGCAAACCTCGTGCCCGCGGAATTCTTAGGGGGCCCTATAAAAAACGCCCCAAAAACCCATGCCCAAGTTGCTCTAGCTGCCAAACTCCACAATCTCTCCCACCATTTTCCACCATCTTAGCTACACTGCCCACCCCTCAAAACTCAAATTCTGGATCATCCAACAGCGATAACACTGGATCGCCATGCAATTGCAGCTCCCATGTCGACACCAGCTCATCCAACAGCAATAGCAATGGATCTTACTCCGGATCGAACTCAAGCTCCAGCTACTACAGCCAAGATCATCCTGGTTTAAATAATATCCATAAGCTCGAAGCCCCTAATCCAACAGAGCTTGATCCAAATTCATGCCAAGCCATTGCAGGCCAAGGCCAGGGTAACGGATACACGCTTCCATGGATACTCGATCCGGATCAGTCTTCAGCAGACTTGAACTTTAAAATTTCGCCAAATGGGAGTATATCAGATTCAGTTAAGATCATGAACAACAGACATGATCATCACCCATTAAAACTATCTATGAGATTACCCAATGGCAACAGATACTCGATCAAGAATGATCGATTCAATGATAACGGCAATAGAAACTTGTCATCGCCTTCACCAACCTCTCAGGATGATACAAGACTATCCCACGTAAAAAAGGACAACTTCTCTTACGCTTGACCATACAAACTTGGCAAGTTAAAAACTACTAACCAATTATACTAACAATTGTCCACTTTCGATTATATACTCTTATTGATTTATTATATCTGATTCATTAAACAGTTGAATTTTGAAAAATTTATTCTTTGTAATTTATATTTTGAATTATTATGTATAGTTAGTCGATAATGATAACTTATTGATGAGGTATATAGAATACAATTGCCCAATTAGGGAAAATTTAGGTTCGATTTATTGTATCCATAATTTATATATTTGTGATGATTTCACCCTCATATATTAAATTTGATTGAATAAGATTTCATAACAAGTTAATCTCGCATTGTTATATAAACCTCACTAACCATTATTGTAATCTAATCAGCTGAGCTATAATACCCTATCCAATATTATTTTACTGAATTCGAACTATTTTAGTATGCTAGTGCAAGTGATATAGCCAATAATATATTATAAAATATACTGACTGCGGTTCTTCATTGAAGTAAAGAAGATAACTATGTAAAAGAGTTAAGAGTCTATGTGCAGTAAATAAATAAAAGAGATATCTCTATTTAGAGTAGAGATAATCCTATAACTATAATATAATCTAAAGTGAGGATTGACTAGCCGGTAAGTGTACAGCTTAAAAAATAGACAAGGATGCAGGTAAGTTGTAAAAACTTGGAATAAAACTATCCAACTTAAACTCAATATTAAATCACATATAAAAATAATTCGCATCATGTCATCATAAGTAATTTAATTTTAAATAAGATAAAACTTTTTATTAGAGTTTTCTAGATTAATTTCCTAATTTAGCTATAATCGTGTTTTGCAGTTACTAGCTAGCGCCAAACTCTAAAAACTAAAGCATCATAGTAAGTTGTTATCGTTTTTTGGCTTTATTATCCATTAAAATAGCTATTAATAGTTTATTTTTAGATTTATACTAGAGTTTTTAAGATCATAAGTTTAATATAATAATGTTTTCCCCACTATCTTTAATTCAATAGTATAAATATACTGAGTTAAGAAATATACTACTTTTAATAGTAATTTTGAAAGTTTTTAAGTTGACTAAAAACACCTCAAATAGGCAATATTGAAATTGGAAAGTATAGGCAAAAATTTATCAGTTTTAAAGTGAATAAAGACTGCATACACATAACTAATTAATTTACTAACAAATCTAAAGTTTGAGTATTTAAGCCAAAAAATGAGCCTTTTCGTGTATTTTTACTGCGAATAGAAAGTTTACAAATATATCATTACTAATATTTTATTTTGAATAATATTCTAGGCGATGGTAGTATTTATATTATATAGTCATAATCACATTGCACTATCAGGCCAATATTTAATATATAAACTTATTATAAGCTCTTTTATATTTATAAAGCTCATTCTCAGTTTTATAACAGAAGTTCACCTTTTTAAGATGTTTAAAATATGCATAGTTAAAATATTAGTTTTTTAACAAAATACTGTATTTTTTCTAAAATTCAGAAATTAACGATATTCTTAATAATATAGCATATGAGTAATTCTAGTTAATTTGATTCAAATTTTGTAAGAGCTCAGTTCAAAATTTTTATTTTTTATAATCGAGTTTTCATAGTGTATAGCCATTATTTAATAGGGAATTGATGATAATATCATATTAAAATACTATATCACCAACTTTAAGTAATAAAAGATACTCTTTAATAAGCTTTAATAAACTAAAAATCAAAAATATTACGAATAGCTCATATAAAAAATTTTGGTCAAATTTGTCCTCGTTTTAACTAGAATCTTTCATATATAAACCAAGTTTTCCAGCAACTTGCTAGATGCTAAACCTAGGATTATATTTAATAATAAAATAAAGAGAATAGTAAATTTTTTGATAATTTTTATATTAATAAAAGTTAATATCACTGTATTTATATTTGCTTGAAGCCAATTTCCATAGTTATACATCACTCACTTGATTACAAACACTAAGTTAACTCAATTAATTTTATTCAAAAAGCCCACTATGTATAAATACAAAACTAGTTTTTGTC